GCTCAGGACTTACTCTTGGCTCTGCATTCAGAGATCACTTCTGGTGGGGCCCAGAGAACCATATGGGGTGCTGGGGATTGACTGACCACATGCTAGGAAAACATACTATCTGCTATACTATTGCCTCTGGCCCTACAGAGTTAATTTTAATTTTGGGGAGCGGAGGTGGTTTAGGCCACACTTGGTGATGCTCAGGGGTTACTCCTAGCTCTGCATGCAAGAGTCACTCCTGGCAGCACTCAGGGGACCATATGGGATGCCAGGGATTGAATTCAGGTCAGCTGCATACAAAGCAAGCTCCTTACCTGCTGTGCCATCTCTCCATCCCCAACTTTTGGGTGTTTCTGAGCTATGTTTGACTGTGCTCAGGGACTATTTTAGGCTCAGTGCTCAAGTGTTGCTCAGAGGAACATGTGATGATGCTGGGGATCAAACTCAAGCCTTCCCCATGCAAAGTATGTGCTGAGCCTGTAGAGCTATTTTTTTTTTAGCTTTTTTTCCTTTTGATGTGGTGGGAAGGGGGTTTGGGTCACACTCAGCTGTACTCAGGGACGATTCCTGGCAGTACTAAGGCAAGTGCCCTACCTGCTGTACTATCACTCCAGCCCTACAATTAACTTTTTTTTTTAAACAGAATATTAAGGTAGTTGAAAAAAGTCAAAAGTAGGTATATAAAACTCATGACATCATTTTAAACTTAACTCCTTTTCAAATACCTAAAACAGAATTTTTTCATTTTCTCTTCCTAGCTTTGATAGAAACACAAATCATCATTTTCAAAACTCTGGAAAAATCAATCAGTAGCATTTTGTGTGAAATACATGCAGAGAAGGGGTCTGTGTGAGGCGGGGGTCTGTGTGCTGGGGCATCCCTAAGGAAGGTTATAGGCATCGTTACTCCATGGGAGCAGGTGTCCTGACTCTGTGAAGCTGCACACAGGCCTCTGATGGCCTTCAGGTGACGGAGGAGTGTTGGTGGGGGACAGAATATTCCATACTAGTGGCCCCTTGGGGGATTTGCAATACAGAGAGTTGGGCTGGGTGGAGGGCACATCTCAGAATCCAGTCGGGGGCGGGGGAATGCTGAGCTTGGGGACCAGAGAAGGGGCCCCCTGGGACCTCATGTGGGCAGCTGCTCTGGGGCTGCCCAGAGGCCTCAGTGGATTCAGGGCCCACACTGGGGTGGTCTTGGGCGGGCCTGGCCCAGTTGGGGTTGCTCCTGTCTACTCAGAACTCTCTATCTGAGAAGTTTGTGGGAGCAAGCAGCTCCCGCCCTCTTCCTGGGTGAGGGAAGCCCCAATACGGAGGGAGGCCCACCCCGTGCACAGCTCAGACAGGCTCTGGGGCTCGGGGTTGACATTCCTAAAGCCTGTGCACAGCTTCACCACCTGGCTCCCGGCTGCCCCGTCCATGGGGCTACAGAGTGCCCAGCCCCGCCCCATACACAGGCATAATTACACCCTGAGAAGCAGGCGCCACGGGCGCCCCATGCCTGATTCACAGCCCAGGGCAGAGGATCAGAGAGAGCCGGCCCTAAGCTGACGCCCTGGCGTGGTGCGAGGGGCATTCACTGGGGGCACTTCTAGCTGCCACCATCCCTGCCTGACCATTACTTCAAGGTGCCCCTGAGGGCCCTCATGGCCGGCCTTCCACTCTAGCTCTGGCGGGACTAACCTGGCCGGCCACTGAGCAGAGATTAGACAAGGCCAGTGGCCAGTTAATGCTGCTGACGTCAGGGCCTGGCCGGGTGGCCACCAGGGGCTTGGGCCCTCCCCCCAGGCAGGAGTATGGCCCATGTGACCCGGCTCATTAAGCCGCTTCAGTGGCCAGGGACGCTGGGAGCCAGATCCCGGGAGCTGGAGCGGGAGGGGGAGGTGGCGGGGGCAGTCCTCGGCCAAGGGATCACTAGCTCTTGGGGCCCCAGGCCAGGGACGGACTCAACAAGAGGGTCCCTCTGTCCTGCACACCTTGACTCATCCCGACCCTATTCCTATGTGTTCTCACAGAGAAGCCCCCCGTGCACCGTGCTGAGTGCAGTGGGGCTCTGTCCAGGGTCGGTGGGGGAGGACCCCTCCAGGCTGTCCCCCTGTGCTGCACACAGCCCTCCCCCTGCAGGCTCACCCCACCTTACACCAGAGCCCCTCTCCCCTTCTCAAGTGGACACGTGTCTTCCTTCCCCTTGGCAAAGCCCAGCCCACAGGTCACTTCTCCCCAGGCTCTTCCTGAGTCACACCCTCCTGCCTGGCAGGGACTTTCGGTCCAGACATCCAGAAAGTGCTGGAGACCCCAGGGATGTCCTGAGGTGGAATGACAAAAGGACCAGCGGTTGCATGAGGGAACAGTGGCCTGACAGGGTTCTGAGGGTGAGTTTGGGTGTTGCAGGATGGGGGAAGGAAGAGTTTCTAGGAAGGTGGGACTCGGAGAACCAGGTGGGCAAGGGCCCAGTGGGGCAAAGGTGGCGAGTTCTGTGGGCAGCAGGAGCATAAGTCTGTGCACATGTATTTATATGTGTGCATGTGTGTGGCTAATCTGCTACATGCCACTGGGGGGACTCACAAGTGAAGCAGATGTGTGAGGCTGTAGGTAGGTGGCTGAGGGGCACAAAGACCCTGGCTCTGAGCTTGGGGGTCTAGGTGGGAGGTGAACAGCCTTGTGGAGGGTCTTAGCACCAGGGGGCTGGTGTGTCAGGGCTGAAGGGGATATGCGAGCCAGGCACCCTTCTAGAGCGTGAAATGACTGACAGACGGACCAGAGCGAAAGTGCAGTGGAAGGACGCTTCCCTTGCAAGCCACCGCCCCTGGGTCTGGTCCCCAACATCCCCTATGGTCCCCTGAGACCACCAGGAGTAATTCCTGAGTACCAGGGGTAACCCTTGAGCATCGCGGGGTGCGGTCCAACAAAACAAAACTAAACTAAACAAATGATGTGACTGAAATAGAGCCAGAGAGCAAAGCGAGAGCCGGGACGCTCCAGGCAACTCCTGTGCCTGGAAGTCTCTAGGCTCAGGTCTCGGTTTCCAGAGATGAGGGGAGGGGGCAGGCTGGAGGCTGAGATAAAGACCCTCGCACCCCCACTCCCTGCAGCTGCCCTGGGCTCAGCTGCAGGAGTAACATCCCCTCCGGCCACAGGGAGAAGACACGGGGCGGCTGTCATAGCCCCAGCCGCTGCCAGCTGTCCGGCCACCGCAGTCCGGGTTGGGAGATTGGGCAGGTGGCGGGAAAGGCCTGGGAGCTGTGTTTGTTCTGGCTCTGGCCCAGGTCTAGCATCAACAAAACCCAACCCCTCCCCCGCCAGTCCGGGACCCTGCATCCCGCTGCCCAGGACCTCCCACAGCCGCCCAGCCCAGCCAGTCCCTGCTCCCTCCAGTCTGGACTGAAGACCCTACATGAAGACACCCTACAAGGGTGACCTTGAAGCCAGGCCAGGCCCCTTGGAAACAGCCAGTGGGAACACCCAGCCCTTTGCCAACGGCTCCAGTGATCTGTGGGATGTCTACATTATCCTGGTGCTGAGCACTCCTCCCCTCTGGATAGCACCCCTCCTATCTGACAGTGCCCACACCAGTCCTCAAGGCCCTTTGGAGAGTGGGAGTTTGAGACCCCTGAAGATCTAAGTAAGCTGTACTCTGGGGACACACCGGGCCTGGGCCTAGAGGAAAAGCTGACCCCTCCTTCCTTCCCAACCATCCAGGGGTGCTTAGAGGTTTGGGGGACTGTCACCATTCTGTTGGCTTTTTTTTTTTTTTTTTTTTTTTTTGCTTTTTGGGTCATACCCAGCGATTACTGGGTTACTCCTGGCTTTGCACTCAGGAATTACTCCTAGCGGTGCTCGGGGGACCATATGGGATGCTGGGGATCAAACCTCGGTTGACCGCGTGCAAGACAAACGCCCTACACGTTGTATGTACTATTGCTCCAGCCCGGCTTTTCTCTTTACTCCTCAGCCGAGAGTCCTCCTGTCCTTGCTTCACAGTTTACCCTTCCCCCACTCCTCACAGGTAAGGGAAAAGAACCATTTTCTGGTAGCATAAAGGGAAACTGAGGCATGCTGGGCCTCCACCATGGTGGAGCAGTCAGTCAACAGAAGGAATCCCAACTCCTAGGCAGGGGAGGGTGAGGTGGGGCTCTGAGGTCAGTTCCCCCCAGAACGGGGCAGGGGAGAACTGGGAGACAAGACCCAAAGACACCCCAGTGTGGTGGAGGATCAGAGGCCAAGGGATTAATCGGATCAGTAGCTGAGAGGCAGGAGGCAGAGCTGTTCTGGGAACCCCTGCCCCCAGGCCTTTGCAGGGTCAAGGCCCCTTCTGGCCGGGCCTGGGGGACCTTAACCCCCACCACCTTCCTCTTCCAACAAGGCATTGGAAGGGAAGCCCGAAGGGGTGGACTTGGAATCCGCACCGGGTCACCTTAAAAGCCTCTCCCCAGGGACCAAGTCCTCCGGTCCCTGCCAGGGGCCAGCTGCTGAGGCTCCTTGGAAGTCAAGAAAAGGAACCTGAGCGGGAACTTTCAGGCAAGTCCCCCGCTTGCTCTCACTGCCCGCCCCTCTGTTTCAGCCCTAGAATCTTCTCTTGGGGTGGGGGACTCAGGGATGCGAACCCCCTCTCCAGAGCACTGGGTCTGCCCAGGGACCGCACGTTGAGCCGGAGCGGAGCGAGAGACGAGCGTCCCCGCCCAAAGCGCCCTTCGCTCAGGTTAAGCTTTGCCCGGTCCCACTCCTCGGAGCTGAAGACCTCCTTTTCCTCCTCCTCCTTCTCCTCCTCCCCCTTCTCCTACTCCTCCCCCAGGCTTCGAGCCGATGCGGGCGGTGCAGGGTGTGAAGCGGGTACCCAGAGATCTCAGACTGGGCTTTAGACCTCAGCGCCCACCAGACCCCCATGGAGCCCGTGCTGCAGCACCGGCCTCCTCCCGGGGGACCCCTCCACGCCCCGCCGCCCCTCTGCCGGCTGCCGGGTGTCCCCCGCCTCCCGGGGACCAGCCCCTCCTCCCGCGGGCCGCCGGGGATTGGCGGGCGGGGGGCGGGCCGGGGGCGGGGCCGGGCGCCCTTCATCCCCCGCCGCTGCGCTCGGCTGCAGGCAGAGCTGACGGCCCCGGCGGAGCGGAGCGCCCGAGTCCCCATCCAAGGCCAGGTACGGCTGCGGGCGCGAGCCCCCCGTGCGCCCTCCCGTCGGCAGCGGGCTCTGGGCAGCTCCCCGCGCCCCGCAGCCTCAGGCAGGAGCCCCAGTTTCCCCGCAAGCCAGAGCCACGCGCGCTGGGTGTCTGGGAACGCGACAGGCGGCACAACTTGAGCTGGGGGCCGGGAGAGACATCTGGTCTCCTGGCGGCGGTGGCGGTGGTGGTGTGGGAGGTGTCTCACGGCAGGAGGTGGCGGGGCAGCAGAAGGCCTGGCCACGCGAGCCTGCGGCCACAGGACACTTTGCTGGTCCCCGATGTGCTCCCCGAGGCAGGTCCTGAGGGTCCGGCTGCAGAGGGTCCGTACGCGGAGGTTCGGAGGGAGCGGGAGTGCTGGTCCTGGAGCGCTGCCCCGACGGGCGCATGACGGGCAATCGGTGCGCTGGCACGCCCGGAATCCGGGTATATTTATCCCAGCTCGGGGCAGGGGCTTGGGGGCACAGGGCCCGGATGCCCAGCGCCCGCGGGGTCCTGGTGGGTCCTTGCGCCCTTGTTCGTGGCAGCGACGCCGTGGACACGATTGTCCCGGGTTCGCCGGGCTCCCGGGGCTGCGGGCGCGGTTCCGCGTGCGCCTCTCGCTGGCCCGCGCGGGGGCAGCGCGGACCCCGGGCACGCGCCGAGGGAGTGGACGCCACTCAGTTTGCAGGAGCCCGCCCCTGCCTGCCTGGCCCCTTTCATTGGCCGCGACTGCTGCGTGCGTTTGTTTACACCGGGGGAGGGGGAGGCGAGGGGCGGGGCCTATGCCAATCCGCCCCTCCCCCGCGGTGACCTGAGCCCAGGTACGGCTCCAGGACAAGGCTGAGGGACGCGAAGGCCCCGGTGCCTGCGCCGTGGGGGACTTCTCCACTCAGGTCCATCCGCCCTTGGGCCTGCCAGGACTGCCCATGCCGGCCTTGGGCCACTGCTGACCCAGGAAGAGGGACCACCCTCCACCACACACATGTCCTCTGGAACATGGTTCGCGCTGTGGGCTCAGAAACTCAGAACCTTCGAGGGCCTCAGCCCGGAGTATGGAAAGCTGGCCAGATTCAGAGAGTTCCGTTAGGAGAGTGCTGTGAGGGTTCTGAGCCTCCACGGCTTCCTGCGGCATGGAGGTGCAGGCGGCCTGGTCCGACCCTCACCAATGAGCCTAGGTCAAGACTGAGAATCCTTCCTCCTGGGGGAGGGCAGGGCCGCAAGGCGCCCCGCGCCTCGGGGAGCTTGGGGCTCTGTGTCTCAGACCTGCTTTCTGAGTGGCCCACGGAGCCTTTTCCTTACCGACTACCCAGCGCCACTCTAATGAGTGTTGGTTCTTCAGGCCCTTCCCTCACCTCGCCCAGCCCAGGCCTCTGGGTGACCGGTCCATGCCAGTTGGTGACTCCTGTCCAAGGCAGGGGGCTTGGGTACATGGAGAAGCAAGGGAGCAGCCAGCTGGTGGCACATGGACTCTGGATTAGGGGCAGGAAGGGCTCTGAGCTGCAAGGAGCACCTCCTGGAATCGGGGCTGGTCGTGAGCCTGGGGGCTCAGTATAAGGGGAAAGCATGTTTTAGGGGAGCCGTGAGCTACAGGGGAGGTAGAGTTCTGGAGCCTTGGTATCTGTGTGCACAGAAAAGCAGGGGTGGGGCCAGCGATGTGACTCAGTGGTAGAGCACTTGACTTGCATGTGAAGCCTTGGGTTTGAGCCTTAGCACTACACACACACACACAGAGACACACACACAAGCAAACTGGAGCCATGCATGTCCCTATGCTACCGTAGGCCAGGGGGTCCCCCAGGGCCTCAGGCAGCCCCTACAGGGCACAGGTCCACTTAGAGCCTGAGTGGGGTCTGCGTAGGGTCCGAACACACCCCATAAACATTCGTTGAGCACCTGCGCTGCCCTGGATGTACTCTGGCTGGTGGGCAGAGGGTAGGCCTTTGACTCTAGATAAGAGGACAGATGGGGGGAGGGGGCTCGGGGGGACCAGGTGAGACTTATGGGGGCTCAAGGGAAGGGCCAGCTGCCGGGGCAGGAGGGGCTTTCCGGTCAGTGGCCTGGGGTGGCTTGGCTTTGAATTTCCGCTCTGCAGGCTACGTCCTGTACACAGCCTCTCGGCCGGCACGTCTGCACTGGCGCCTGGCGCTGAGGGCAGGGCTCAGCCCAGCGGCCACCAGCTCCATCTGCCTTTCCCGTCCTTTGGTAGACACACGCTGGGGTCAGGGGCCCTACCCGTTACATGTCCCAGTCCCTGAGGAAGGAGCCAGACCTGCCAAAGAGGATCTGGAAATGCCGGGGCAGTCTTCTTGAAGGGTTCTCCCATCGTCTGCCTGGCCACCCCTCAAGGTCCCCTTGCTGACTGGCCCCTCACCTCTCTGGCTCTCTCTTCCCTGCTCCTCCAGGACTCTGTCAGATGTGGCCTCTCTTGCCTCCCCTTGCCTTGCCCCTCTCTGTGTAGCTGCTGCTGCTGGGTGAAGTGTCTTCCTCTCTCTCTCTCTCTCTGGCTATTTTCCTCTGCCCTGCTCTCTCCCTCGGCATCTCTCCCTGGGCCTCTGTCAGTCTGCCTGGATTAGTCTGCCTGCACGAGAGTGTTTGCTCTCCCTGCCTAGCTCCCCTCCCTCTGCCTCTTCCCGGTGTGGGATGGCGCCTGCCTCTCAGGCTGACCTCTTTAGCGCGTTCCCCCCCACCCGCCCCCGCCATCGGGGTCTCCGAAGAGTCCTGAGTTGCCCTAGGCCCCTGCTCCAGCTCTCTTTGGGGCCAGAAGTCCGGCTGTCCAAATATTTGGCCGCCTCCAGGGGATTCCGGGTCAGCAGGGAGGAGAATGGACTGGCTGGCTCGGGGTCTCCCCTGCCCCCGGGGGGCCATGGACACGTGATGTCCTGTCCTTCGCCTCAGCTGGGTCTTGGGCCGCACGTCCCTCTCAGCAGGCTGGCAAACGAGGGAGGAGACTGCAGCTGGCTCTGGCCCAGCCCTGAGCCCAGGTCCCAGCTGCAGCCTCCCCTGGGGCAGCGGAGCGAGGAGGGTCCAGGACGGCTGTAAGGAGAGGCCGAGGTGGCTGGGCTGGACCTAGCTCTAAGCATCTGCCGGGTGTCTAGAAAATGTACCCCCGACAGGAAAGTCTACTTTCCGGCCACCGCTGGGCCCTTCAGATCCTCCTAGACGCTTCCGCATGCCCAGAACACAGACGCCAGGGAGCTGGGGATGAGGCCTGCTGGACACACACAAGTCTGGATCCCTGGGACTGGACAGTCAGGGCGAGGCGGAAGGGGTGTTTTAGTCCTCCACTTCCCCCTCTCTTTTATATTTTTGGGCAATGCTCAGGGATTACTCCTCCTGGCTCCCTAGCTTGGAGTTCAAAGATCACTCCCGGCAGTATTTGGGGGACTCTATGTGGTGCTGGGGCTCAAACCGGGTCAGACACATATGTGCGAGGCAAGCACCCTACCCGCTGGTCCAAACTCCCCCTCTCACACGCCCGGCCCCTATTCCCTGACCGCTGCCAGCTGCTCCTGTGGCCACGCCCGTGGGGGCTGCCACTCAGCTCCGCTCCAAATCCGGTGTCCCCATGGACAGCCTGACCCAACAGGGCCGAGGGGTGCAGGCTCAGAGAGGCACCTTGTCTTAGCCAAGGAAGAGAACAGTAAGGAGGCAGGAGCTGGGGCCCACACCCTTGAGCCACCAGGAGAAGCCCCGCAGCCAGGCCTGCAGCCGGCCACCTTCCCTGTGCTTGAGACCTGGACTTCAGTGAGGGTGTCAGGCACGAGGAGCTGGGGCGCCATGGTAGCAAGCTTCTGGGCGGGGATGGGGTCTGTGCCTCCACTGTGCGTGTGACTGTAAGGGTGGGGAGAGGGACAGCATGGCCATCACCGGCATGCTCTGAGGCACAGCCAGGTCCCCGAGCATGGGAGCACAGAGAGTGGAGCTCAGAGCCCCGGAAGTTTCAAGGACCTCAATCCTGGGCCGAGGGACATGCGTCCCACAGTGGCTGACGCAAGCAGCTGCCCCACCACGGCCTGGATTCCTGGGCCTGGGAATCTTTAATTAGCCAAACTCAACACCTGCCGAGGTGTGCCTGCCGAATTCTCACCCCGTGATGCTTGCGTGGGCGGGCGTTACCTGCACCCCGGCTTCCTGCCCGCTCCTGCCCCTGCCCTTATCTCCCAGCAGAGCAAACAGGCCTGGGGCAGCGGCCTGGTCATCCATTGATTGCCCCGGCCCATGTGGCACCCAAGGCAGATGTCATCCTGACGGCTTGGCCAAGGTCGCAGTGCTCTTTCCACCTCAACCCCTGACCTCTCTTTCTGGGAGTCCCAGGCCTCAGGGAGGCTCCTAGCTCCATCCCCAGCTTCCACGCATGCCTGGAACGCAGGTCTGCGAGATGGGGAGTTCTTTGCCCAGGGTCACATGACAAGGCAAGACCAGGCCCGGCCTCAGATCAGTGTGTCCACTCTGGGTTTTCTTGGGGCCATAGCTATTACATCACTGAGCTCCCGGACTCCCTAATCCACAGGAGCTCCACAGGAGGTAGGCCTGAGAAAGGTCAACTGTCAAAAATGAGCCTCTCAAGGGTCAGAGAGCAAGTTCAACTGGCTGAGTGCATGCCGTGCATACTGGAGGCCCGGATCCTACCCTCAGTTTCACATGGCCCCTGCCCTCTACCAGGAGTGACCCCAGCACAGAACTTTAAATAATCCCTAAGCACCATGGGTGTGCCGCCCCTCTAAAAAAAAAGGGGGGGTCTCCTAGGTGTTGGAGAGATGGTTCAGAGAAGTGGAGTTCTTACTTGCATGGAACATGTGTGGCACCACATGGTCACCTGAGCACCATCAGGTCCCCTCCCCCAAAAGGAGAGGGTGGAGCTGTAGCAATAATATAGCAGGTAGGGCACTTGCCTGGCACACAGCCAATCCAGATTCCACCCCCAGCATGCCATATGGTCCCCTGAGACCTACCAGAAGTGATTCTTGAATGCAGAGCCAGAAGTAACCCCTGAGCACTGCCAGGTGTGTTCTAAAAACAAAAAAATGGGGGGTGGGGTGGCAGGGGAGGACAGAAGCTAGGCTCAGACAATGTCTGAGGTCCCACAGCTGGTCTCCCTGACCCTCAGCCCCCTCCCTGTGCCAGACTGAAGGCCAGAGTCTGACCTGGTGGCCTTCAAGCATCTCTGCGGGCCTGAAATCTTCATCCCACCCTTTTTAGTGCCTCTTCCCATGGTCCTCTTTTCTGTTTCCACACCCTGAGGATTCCTGCTAAGGACTTTAGGGTCGACTCCCCTCCAGGAAGCTTTCCTTGATGCAACTTCTCTCGCTCCTTCTTTGTGTCCCAGGACTATGAGGCTCCCATAATAGAAGGCTTAGAGTGTGGAGAGGGCACGTGTGTTTGGGGTTTTGTCACTAGAGACTGAAGGTCTCAGGTCAGCCTGAGCCCCAGCAGGAACTGGTGGTGACTAACAGATCTGAGGGTGCCAGCCCGGGTCTTGCTGGGGGGCCGGGGACCCTGGAGCCAGGACCTTGGGCACTTTGGTCATGGCACCATGACTGTGGTCTCCCTGGAGGTGGCCCGGCTGCTAGGGAAGGCTGTTAGGGTCAAGAAGGGTGCTTTGTCCGGCTGCCGACTCAGCACACTCAAAGGGCCTGTCCCAGCCTGCCCAGGGCCGGAGGACCGGCAAGAGCAAGGTAGCAAGTGCCAAGGGACCCACCAGAGTGACTCTGGAGATGAGATGCTCACACCCCCATGGCTCACTGAGACCCTTGGAGCAGGTACAGAGGCGTGGCTCAGCACACACATGAGAATAGGCTGGTCCTGAGGAGGGAGCTGGTCTCACGTTGGTGGGTCCGAGTGGGCAGGATGGAGGAGAACAGAATTCCCAGGCCGGCCCCCGAGGAAGGACAGGCAGGTTGAGGGGCTACAGAGTGCCGGGGATGGGATCCCCAGGATCAGGTGCCTGGGGCTGCACTCTTGTGGTCACTGCCGTCAGGACACCTGGGCAGCTCCCGGCCTGTGTAGGAGTGGGACCCGGTACCCCAGGCTCCTGGGCACATGGGGGGCTGTGCAGAGAAGTGACCATCCGTTTCCAGGCAGGGGGGTTCTGGTGTTTCAGGCCCAGGCTCTGGCTGACCCACCAGCCAGCACAACCCCTCTCTGTCTCCCCCTCACCTTAGTGGTCCTTGGCCTGGTGGCCTTCAGAAAGTCTTCACAGATGGGGTCCTGGGGACAGAAAAGTGCATCGTCTAGACACCAGGCAGGGTTGGGTTGGGGAGAGGACAGAGGAGTGGGACAGTGAGTCCAGGGGCGGGTCCCTCTCTAGCCACCAAGGCCCCAGCTCCTGGCCTGAGGCTCTATGAAGTGGAGAGGGGATATTGGGGTAAGAAGGGTGGGGGCTACTCAGAGTCCACTCCTGAAAGCCAGCACCCCAGGGCCAGGGCTCCCCAGCAGAGAAGGAGGCGCTTGAGGGAGAACAGAGCCCTGAGCGAGGCTTGTGTGGCCCAGAAAACTGGGCCCCGGGGCACCAATTTCCTGGAAGGCCCCCGAGGGCCCTTCGCAGCCGGGTGGGAAGGGTCCAGGTGTCAGCCACCAGTGCCGCCTCGGGCCTCCTGGGGGGTGGGGGGGGAGGCCGTGCGCCTGCCGATCCCAGGGCCAGCGCTCAGCCTACAGAGGGCTCTTTGTTCCGAGTGCCAACAGTGCCCGCCGGGCGGCTGGGAACGGGGCCCACAGCCCTCACCCTCTCCCGAGGCCTCCAGTCGTCGGGCAGTGCCATTCTAGGTTGGCTAGGAGGCCCCTGGCACACAGGGCGAGCACAGGAAACTGTCTCCCAGTGTTAATATCAGGGATGGGGAGTTGGTCCAGGGCCTCCCTGCAGAGTGGGGCCTAGAGACTGGGCCCAGCATCCCAGGGCCTGGCAACTGGCCTTGAACTCGGGTCATCCTGCTAACGGTCCTCTCTCCACAGCAGGGAAACTGCAGTGCTCCCCGGGCCTTCACTGGCTGGTACCATGGGGGGTATACTGTTCTGAGCGGGGTGTCTCACTGGGACTCCTGGAGAACTCAAGAGTCTGAGACCTGTGTCCCCAAAGCCAGGACTGGGACTGGATCCTGAGAGTTAGGCAGAGGGCAGAGCACTCCGGGCTTGTGCCTGGCCTCGCTTCCAGCATCACAGACCCCACCCCAATACCCTAGGTGTGACCCTAGGGGCTCCTGATCACCTCCTAGTGAGCGCAGGTGGTTCCCAGCACAACAGAGCAAGAGCATCCCCAGGTCCTTGAACCGTGAGGCCGAGCTGGTTAGGATTGTCTGGGAGTGGCCCCGGGTTCCCTCAGCTCTGCCTGGGAAGCGTTTTTTCCTACAAACACACAGACACCCACAAGACAGGTCCCAGGGAGGCGGCAGCAGGCTGAGCTCCATGTGTCCCCAGAGCGACCCCACGTGTGCTTTGGTTAACACTGTTGGGGGGCCTGGGAATAACTGGGGTGGGGCTGCCCCTCTGCAGGCTTGTGTCAGCGTGTGGCCACTGCTCCTGGGATCGGGTCCCTGAGCCATGGAGGCGCCTCTGCAGACCGAGATGGTGGAGCTGGTGCCCAACGGCAAGCATGCAGAGGGGCTACTCCGGGTCAGCAGCCCCTCAGCAGGAAGCCAGAGGTGAGCAGGAGGGCGTGGGCACCTGGGCTGGGGGCAGGGACGGGTGTGTGCGAGGGACGCAGCTGAGAGCTTTGCCCGGCCATGCCCACAGGGTGGAGGGCCCCCGGCGCAGCTGCGTGGAAGGTGAAGGCTTCCTGCAGAAAGGCCCCAGCAAGGAGCCGCAGTTCACTGACGTGAGCCGGGGCAGCAAGGGAGGATCGGGGGCACCCACGGGAGCTTGGGTGCAGTCACGAGGTGCTCCAGGGCTGCGGTGGGAGGCTGAGGGGCGGAGATGGGGGCTCCTCAACCCCCTGCTGATGCTCCTCCCCCATGCCCGCAGTTTGAGGGGAAGACGTCGTTCGGGATGTCGGTGTTCAACCTCAGCAATGCCATCATGGGCAGTGGCATCCTGGGGCTCGCCTATGCCATGGCCAACACGGGCATCATCCTCTTCCTGTGAGTGCCTGCCATGACCCCAAGTGCTTTGACGGGACACCAAACATGACCTCCCGTGCCCTGCCACTTTCCTGGCCTGCTACACAGCTGACGGCATGGGCACTTGTCCTCAGCCCAAATCATAGCTGTAAACACCCACCATGGCCAGACAAACGGGCCTCACTTCCCATGGACCCTGGGGGGTTGCAGCCGGCGCCAGCCTGACAGCTCCAAACCTGTGCCTCTACCACATCCCCCACATGGCCCCGCCAGGACTATGTCTTGCCACCTCCTATCCCAAGAGCTCCAGGGACCGTTCTGGTCTTAGCCTTCCTGGGCCCTGCTGATCCCACACACACCCTGTTAGGGAACAAACAACACCCCGTCACAGACTCCCAGAGCTCATCACCCCCTGCCTGCCGGGGGTGCCCAGCGGCCTGTCTCGTCCATCTCCCAGGTTCCTGCTGACAGCTGTGGCCCTGCTCTCCAGCTACTCCATCCACCTGTTACTCAAGTCCTCAGGGATCGTGGGTGAGCCTCAGACCGGCCTATAGCAGGGGTGGGGGGCCTGGGGAGCAGTCCTGACTTCCATCCCGCAGGCATCCGTGCCTACGAGCAGCTGGGCTACCGTGCCTTCGGGACCCCAGGAAAGCTGGCGGCGGCCCTCGCTATCACACTGCAGAACATCGGAGGTGAGCCAGGCAACAGGGGTCGGTGGGGACCCCCGGGCTGAGTGCTTCAGCTGAACCCCACTCTGGCCCACCCCTCTCCCCACTCAGCCATGTCCAGCTACCTGTACATCATCAAGTCCGAGCTGCCCCTGGTTATACAGACCTTCCTGAACCTGGAGGAGCAAACCTCGTGAGCCTCAGGGTCGAGGGGAGTGGGGAAGGGTGGGAGACCCCCCTCAGTGTCCACCTAGGAGATGGGTTGGGCGGGGCAGGTAGAGTGACCAGAAGAGCTAATGCTAGGGGAGCACCCCCAAGAAGGACAGTAAAGGCAGGGTGGGGCGGGCCTGAGGAAGTGGGGTGCCGCCTGTGAAGCTGGAAGATCCAACACCTGTTATTCCTGACCACCCCTCAGCGCTGCTCCCCTTTAAGCCCCAGGCTGCCTGTCACATTAGCGAGACCAATGGTACCTCCCATGTTTGGGGTGGGATGGAGAAGACAGTTGGGCACTGCCCTGGCACAGGGCCCAGAAGTATAGTTGAGGCTGAGCTCCAGAAGGTGGGAAACAGGTAGGATCTGGGGGGCCCCCTGTGTCACTGGGCCTTCCCCAGAATGCCAGCCTCATCCTGTAGTCTCCCCACCGCAACCCCCCCCCCGGGGCAGCACAGGGCATCTGGCCTGTTTGGTAACTCCCTAAGCCCCCATGGAGAAGAGTCCATCCCCAGAGGCAGGTTTTCTATCCCATCCACCTCCATGTACCCCTCACCGGTCACTTCGTGGTGAGTTGGCACCCCCCCGACACACACACACCCACAGTCTGAGGTCCATTCCGTTGGTGACTGTGGGGTCTGATGAGCATGCATACCCTGTGCCCTGGGTGTCCTTGACAGATGGGGTCAAAGACCAGTGTGACCTCCATGGGGTGTGGAGGTGGGAACAGCCCCAATATACTCAATCGTGAGTAGTGGTGACAACTCCTGTCCCACAGGGACTGGTACATGAACGGGAACTACCTGGTGATCCTGGTCTCCATCACCATCATCCTCCCTCTGGCGCTCATGCGGCAGCTTGGTGAGCACGGCGAGGCGGGGCCAGGGTCCTAGAGGGCAGTGTGGGAGGGACCCCCTGACCTCACGATGCCCTCCACTTTGCAGGCTACCTAGGCTACTCCAGCGGCTTCTCCCTCAGCTGCATGGTGTTCTTTCTCATTGCAGTGAGTCACCTCGGGGCTGCTCAAGTGGGGGACAGGTGTCCCTGGGGACATGCTCCACTGGAGGGGGGGTCTCCCTGGGCAGCCTGGGTAGGTGAGTAGCCCCCGCCAGCCCTGATCTACACATAGCTTCCATCTCACCCCCCACCTCCCCTGTGGCCCGGCTGGCCCTGAACCATTGTCCTCCTCTCCCCGAAACAGGTCATTTACAAAAAGTTCCAAGTGCCCTGCCCGCTGCCTCTGCACGCTGCCAACGTCACTGGCAACTTCAGCCTCACGGACAGCGCCGAGGAGGAGACAGCATCGCGGCTGCATGGAGCTGAGGCCGCCGCCTCCTGCAGCCCCCGATACTTCATGCTCAACACGCAGGTTCCCATCCACAGGGACGGAGGGCGGTGCTGGAGCCCAGGAGGGCCGTGGGGGCTGCCCTGACATGCTCCCTCGTTTCCCCAGACGGCGTATACCATCCCCATCATGGCCTTTGCCTTCGTCTGCCACCCCGAGGTGCTGCCCATCTACACTGAGCTCAAGGAGTAGGTGGCCGTGGGAAGGGGGCAGCACTGCCTCGAGATGAAAGTGGCCCTGACCATGGGAGTGGGAACCCCAGGGAACCCAGAGACAGCTCAGAGCACGGAAGAACATGTCTGGCATATGGAGGCCCAGACCCACGTGATACCCCCAGCACGGCAGAGTGTCCCTTGTGACCCCCAGCATCACCGTCAGGCCAACTGTTTCCAGGAAGGCCCCCTAGACCTCCTGAGCACTGCTTGGGAGCATTTCCCCTGAATCTACCTCCTGCAAAAAAAAAGAAAAAAAAACTTCCTAACAATCTCCTGAATTGCTATGAGGAGGAATTGGGAGTGAGAGTGAGGCTCCCTCCACTGCCAAGGGTGGGGACTGTGCGGGTGGGATCTCCCTTGTGACCCAGGTTGGCACTATCCCCTCCCCCCAGCCCCTCCAAGGGGAAGATGCAGCAAATCTCCAACCTCTCCATCGCTGTCATGTACGTCATGTACTTCCTGGCCGCCCTCTTCGGCTACCTCACCTTCTATGGTACGGCTGGATGCAGGAGGGGGTGGGGCAGAGGCCAGGCTGTGGGGGCCAGAGGCTCCCTGGGGCCCTGCACGGGAGTGCCCGCCAAAGGGTGCCCAGTGGCCTTGCCCCTCAGTGCTGGGGCGGGCGGGGCTGCCTCTGACCCCCTCCCTGCCCATGCAGATGGGGTGGAGTCGGAGCTCCTGCACACCTACAGCAAGGTGGACCCCTTTGACGTGTTGATCCTTTGTGTGCGTGTGGCTGTGCTGACAGCTGTCACGCTCACGGTGCCCATCGTTCTGTTTCCGGTGAGCCCGTAGGCCAGTGCCCAGAGCCTGGGGGGCGGGGAACTGTCAGACCTGACTGCTCACTCACGGCCCCTGCGGCCCACAGGTGCGTCGCGCCATCCAGCAAATGCTCTTCCCCAACCGGGACTTCAGCTGGCTACGGCACGTGATCATCGCCACTGGCCTGCTGACTGGCATCAACTTGCTGGTCATCTTCGCCCCCAACATCCTGGGCATCTTTGGGGTCATCGGTAAGGGCCTGACACTGTGGTGTGTGGAGGAAGGGGTACCGCCCCTGAAGCTCTTCTGATGGCAGATCCTGTTCTTCTGACAAATGGGGAAAATTTATTAGGCTCCAGAATCTGGCAGAGACAGGTTTGGTATTCTGGCCTCTGTTCCATCCTGATCGGGGCTCTGAGAGAGAAGATCAGACAACTCAGAGACATCTCTGAGGGCTCCAGTTCAGGAGACTGACTCCCCAACTCAACTCTGCAGAAACCAACAACCAGCATTGGTACTGAATATCACAGGTCAATTATCTTAATTCAAGATGTCTGAAGCCTGAATCAAAATAATTTAAGCAGAAAGGAATACATTGGCTTAAAGAATTGAGAGGCCTTCGGGAATCCATTAGCCTCAATAGCTATCCAGGAGTTCAATAACTCTGTCCCCATCTCTTGCCTGCCTTTCCGCCTTTCCTCTTTGCCAACTTCATTCACTGACAGTTTCTCTCATTCCAGCAGCACTATATTCCCATCATGGTTGACAGGAAATAAGAGGATGGGCAGGTAAATGCTCTAGAAACAGGCAGTGCACTCAATGAAACAGCAAGATGAGTTGGTCCCCCAAAAAGATTGTTTGAGGAGCTGAAGTGATAGCACAGCGGGTAGGGCATTTGCCTCACATGCAATCGACTCCCCGGGTTCAATTCCAGCATCCCATATGGTCCCCCGAGCAACACCAGGAGAGCAGAGCCAGGAATAACCCCTGAGCATCGCCAGGTGTGACCCAAAAAGCAAAAAAAAAAAAAAAAGATTGTTTGACCTTAGTGGGAGAGAAAGCACAAGGGTTAAGGCACCTGTCTTTTATGTGGCTGACCCAAGATCCATTCCTGACGCCACGTAGGGTCCCTCAACCACTTGTGCCCTGTGCACAAGCCAGGAGTAAGCCCTCAGCCCCTCCGAGTGTGCCTCCCACCAAAATACGAAGACGTCAGTGACCCTTTGCTAAGACACGCGCCTCCTCTGTTGCAGGTGCCACGTCAGCCCCATGCCTCATCTTCATCTTCCCTGCCAGCTTCTACTTCCGCATTGTGCCCACTGAGAAGGAACCTGCAAAGTCCACCCCCAAGATCCTGGTGCGAGGGGCCTGGAGGTCGGTGGGAGGCATGGCGACCTAGGGGCTATCCTGGCCTCCGGTTTGACCTTGACTTCTGCCCCTGCAGGCCCTGTGCTTTGCTGTGTTTGGCCTCTTGCTGATGACCATGAGCTTGAGTTTCATCATCATTGACTGGGCCTCAGGAACTAGCCGGCAAGGAGGAAGCCACTAGGACGGCCCCTTCTGTTCCATCTACTGGTCCTCACAGCCCTGCCAGCTCCTCAGCCCCTGCAGCCAGGGGCCAAGGGGGTGGGGAGACATGGTCAGCACCATGCACCCGGCCCAGCCCACGTCCTCTCTGTGGAAGGCTTTTGTTAGGGAACCAGGACCAAGGCCTTTGGGCCATGACCCTGCTGGGCTCCTTGGGTGCAGGGGCTTCCCGAGCCGGAAGCAGGGTGGGCCTGCAGCCCCACTCCCATCCTCTTGTCTCAGCCACTGCCCCTCCCCCCAAACCCCTGTCTTTCTGCTCAGTTGCATGCACTGAGGCCCAGCAGCGGCCTCTGGGGGTGGGAGGGGGCCATATCTCCTGCTGGGGCATGCAGAGCTGGAACAAGGTCTGCACCCTGAACCCCTGCCCGCCCCCTCCCCAGCTGCTTTCCCTCTCTCCCCTCAGCCCCTGTCAGCCCTCAGATACTCTTGTCCCTGTGCCCATCTCCCCTCCCCCGCAGAAGCAGCCCCACCCCCACCAGGAGCAGACTGGACACTTGGAATTAACAGGTCCTTCTGAAGGGGAGGCTGATGTGGGTGCCCCTAAGGGAGTCTGCCTTGCTTCCGCCACCAGTCCTGGGGAGGCTGGGCCTCCACCGCCCTCAATCCTGGCCTGTAGCTCACATTCCACTACCGGGGAGAAAAGAGTGTCTCTGCTCTGGGGGGCCTAAGACCCCAGGGTCCAGCCTGAGGTGAGGGAGGAGAGACTGGTGGCCCCCTTTTATAAATATGATATGTCAGACCAGCTGTGTTTTATCTTCTCCATCTCCATGGTCCCTGGGCTCCTGACCACAGGGTGGGAGGGAGTCTGTGGCTGGTCATGGTGCCCCTCCCCCCTCTCTCCGGGCATGAGGTAGGAACAGAGTCCCCACCCCGCTGGCCCCTGCCTCCCAAACCAGCTAGTGGCAATGTCAGATCCAGCTTTGGGCCTGAGCCAAGCTTAACACAGACCTGCTTTCTCACGGGGTGAGGTGGGGAAGAATTAATGAGGCCCCAGGAAATGGGACAGAGCGAGGCCTCCGGAAGGAGGCAACGTGAGGTGCATCCCCAGCAGCTTTGGGGAGGGTCTGAGCTGGGGGCAGTCAAGCCCCCCCGAAGCCTGTGCGGGGGGCCCCCCTGGCCTCCTGGGGCTGCCACATCAACCTACTGTCAATGCCTCAAGCCTGGGAACAAAAGTCCGGGGATCCTGGGCCCTTCGGACTGATCTTTTTATCGATAGTAAAAGGCACTCTGAATAAAGGTGCAGTCCTGACAGGGGACACTGCGTGTTGAATGGGGGCATCTGAGGCAGGGCGGGGACTGCCAAGGTGCAGGGCGGCCCCAGGTGCCCTGGGCTGGGTGGAACTGGGAAGCTGCCCATTGCCCGCGGCAGACCTGAACCAGCTGGGGCCCAGCGGGATGGAGCTGCCCAGGCATTGGCACCAAAGCCTCATTAGGAGAGACCCCGCACAGGCGAGGCTGCTGGGGGAAAGGGCAGCAAGAAAAATCCAGTTTGAACTTGCAAGGAAGCGGCCGGCTTGGGAAACCCCTGAAGAAAGAACTTCCTCAAGCTGGTGGCTGTGAGGCCCAGAGCAGTGCCAGCTAGTCAGAGGGGGGCTTCCTGAGTCTGGTTCTCATCAACCCCAGGCGCCTGACTCCAGCCTGGGGACTCACCCAAGAGTCCTGTGGTCCCAGAAAAGGAATTGGACATTGGCCTAGAGGTGGTCACAGCCTGGCGTGCCTTGGCACAACCTCTGGGAGGTCTCTGGGTCTTCATCAGATGGATCCATAGCCCTCCTGAGACCCAGGCTCCTGTGAGGTTAAGGTGGCCAAGGACAGGGGCCACCTGTGGATAGGACTTGGGATCTTTTCTCACACTCGCCCAGGGTGGCTGCATGGAGTCGTGGAGAGCCCAAGTCTGGTTTCAGTGCAGGGGGGACGTGCTGATGCTAGTTCTGTCCAGCTGTATCCACGCACAGAGAGGAGGTGGAAGAAAGTCCCTGAGCCCTGGAGCCTCCTCTGTCTGCCCAGCAAGGTCTCCTCCAGCCTGACCAGTGGGCAGCAGACTGGTGAGGTCTGGAGTGGTGAGGAGTTCATTACACCAAACCCAAAAGCCAAATGCCCAAGTGATTGAGTACATGTCAATGTCTGGCCACTCGGCCTCTGTAAGGTGCTATTGGTCATCACTAAATAGCTCTGTAGTATTTTTTAATGGTTTGGGGGCCAGATCTGGGGTGCTCCGATGCTACTCCCAGCTTGGTGCTCAGGCAGTGCTTAGGGGAACGATGTGGTGCTGAGGGTCAGACCCAGGCGTCCTGCCTACAAAACATAGGCTCCAGCCCTTTGAGCCATCTTCACTTTGGCCTGATCTGTTTTGTTTTGTTGGGTTTGGGGTCCCATCCACTGTGCATAGACTCTGCTCAGGGATCATATGCAGTTCCAGGGATTGAACCTGAGTCAGCTCTGTGCAAGGCAAGCAGCTTACTCATTGTACTACTTTTCTGACCCCCATTTTTATATGTTTTGAAGAATTTCCCACTTTTTTTCTCTCTCTCTTTTGGGAGGAATTTTGGGAGCCGCTCCCGGCCATGTGGGGCTACTCCCAGCTCTGTGTTCTGGGGTTGCTCCTGGCAGTCCTCAGGGATCAGAACTGGGGCTCATAGTGTGCAAGGAAAATGCGTTATCCTTGGACTATCTCTCTAGCCCCATTTAAAAATAAAAGTAGTGGTTCTGGAGCAATAGTACAGTGAATAGGGCATTTGCCTTGCATGCAGTCAACCCAGGTTCGATTCCCAGCATCCCATATGGTCCCCCGAGCACTGCCAGGAGTAATTCCTGAGTGCTTGAGCCAGAAGTAACCCCTGAGCATCTCTGGGTGTGACCCAAAAAGAAAAAAAATTAAAAATAGGGGCGGGAGTGAAAGTACAATGGGTAAGACACTTGTTTTGCATTCTGCTTACCTGGGTTCAGCCCTGGCATCCCATATGGTCCCCTGAATTTGCCAGGAGTTATCCCTAAGTGGAGAGCCAGGACCATGACCAAAAAAACTTAAATTCAATTAAAATTTTTTTAAAAACTGTGCCTTGGGCACAGCTGACCCTGGCTCAATCCCCAGGACCACTTATGGTTCCCTGGGCAGCCAACAAGACTAAGCCCTAAACACCACTGGTGTGGCCCCTCTAAAAGAAAAAAAATTTTTTTCTGTGTGAGCCAAAGAGATAGTACAGAGGTTCAGGTGTTTGCTTTGTACCCCGCTGATCCCAGTTCAAATTCTATAGCACCATGTATGGTCTCCCAAGCTCTGAACAAAGAGCCAGGAATAGCCCCTGAATAATAATGGATATGACCTTCAACACCACCCCCACATACACACACAAAAAAAAACCTGTTCTAAAGAGCTAGGGAAGTGGCTCGAGTGGTACAGCACATGCCTTCCATATATATGTAAGGCCCTGCCTTTGATCCTTATCACAGCACCCCATGATGCCAATACACACACACACACACACACACACACACACACACACACACACACATGCAGGCCACGACCCTGGTGGCAAGGAGTAGTCCCAGGTCCCCCTAGCAGCACAGCAGGGTGTTGGCCCCATTTATGGCTGCACAATAAAATAAAAAAATTGCTCTAAAAAAATGGTTTTTATTTCTGCTTGGAACAATGACAAAGATAGAACAGCCAGAAATTCCAGCGCACAGAACCTTTCTAGATTTCTTTCCACTGCTTTTCCTATGACTGACTGTTGAAAAAATTATATGTTTATAATACACACACACACACACACACACACACACACACACACACACCAGGAAAAGAGACCAAGACCCACGCTCACACTTACCTTCAACTAAAAAGGGGTTCATTCATCACTCAACAAGAATTTACTGCAAGCTGGAGAGATCATACAGTAGGGAAGCTACTTTTCTTATCCAAATTTGATTCCTGGCACCCCATATGGTCTCCTGACCCCAGCCAGGAGTGATGCTGGAGCAGAGCCAGAAGTAAGCCCTGAGCACAGACAGGTGTGGCCACCCCAAAAAATAAAACAAAAAGAAAGCTTTTATTGACACTTCAGGGAGAGATAGTACAGGTTTTAAGGCACTTGTTCTTGGGGCATATTTGGTTGTTGTTTTTCATTTGCTTGCTTTGGTTTTGGTTTGGGGGCTATACATAGCGGTGCTCAAGCTTTCTCCAGGGTCTGTGCTCAGGGATCTCTCCTGGCAAGACTCGGGGGTCTATATGGGGTACTGGGGATCTAATCTGTGTTTACCCTATGCAAGGCAAGTTCCTTATTTCTAGACTATGTCTCCAGCCCCTAAAGTGTTTGTCTTGCAAACATCCAACCACAGTTTAATCCCTAGCATGAAATATGGTCTCTGAGCACTGCCAGTGGTCATTCCTAAGCACAAAGCCAGCTGCAGCTCCTGAGTACCACCACCACCAGGTTTGATCCTAAGTCCCCCCCCACACACAAAAGATTTCATACTTTAGTGAACAGAATGAAGACCATACCCCTCTAGAGTTTATTTATTTATTTATTTATTTATTTTGCTTTCTGGGTCACACCCAGCAGTGCTCAGAGCTTTCTCCTGGCTCTGCACTCTCTACTATTTAATCTTGTTATTTTTTTTATTTTTTTTGCTTTTTGGGTCACACCCTGCAATGCACAAGGGTTACTCCTGGCTCATGCACTCAGGAATTACCCCTGGCGGTGCCTGGGGGACCATATCGGATGCTGGGAATCGAACCCAGGTCGGCCGCATGCAAGGCAAACGCCCTACCTGTTGTGCTATCACTCCAGCCCCTCTACTATTTAATCTTTTAAGAATAATATTTGTTCTAGGTTTCTAGCAACAACTTTTTTCATTTAAGGATGTTTCTACTCTGAATTTCTTAAGAATTTTTACTATTATTCATTTTTCTCCTTCTACTAAGATGATAGTGTCATTTTTCCTTTAAAATTGTAAATGATATAAAACATTAAATATTAAATCGACTTTGAAAAAAAATTACACCTGCCATTGCTTAGGGGCCCATATGAGATGCCAGGGATCAAACCAGGTTCAGCTGTGTGCAAGGCAAATTCCCTACCTGCTGTATTATGGCTCCAGCCCCTAGAGCTTATTTTCTGAGTGGAAGACTAAGTTCAGGCCCAAAACAAGATGCAATCAGCAAGTTCCACCCTTCGCTAGAAGACATTCAGTGCCATAGGGGAAAGCATAACAAAAGATCCTGGATGCGGCTCTGCAGCAGAGAACATGCCTCAAATGTGTGAGGGCCAGACCTTGATGCTGAGTACCACCAAAAACTAAACAGAAAGAAAGGCAAAGTACGGATCATAGGAACAGGGACTCAGGAGTTGGGTGGTGTGGACCTCCCTGAGAGAACTATCAGGGATAGTTCTGAGAACTGGAGGAGGAAGCCATGAGGATACCTACGGGGAGTACCGCAGACAGAGGGATCCGGTCCATGCAAAGCAGAAGGACAGGAAGTGGCCGGTACAGGTAGCTTGTGGCCAGAGAGGGGAGAAGGGGGGAGTGGTACAAACAAAGAGCAGATTTTAGCCCTCCACAAATCTTGTCATTTTCTCTGGGAAAGATGAGAAAGTCAATGCTGGGCTCTCAGCAAAAGGACGGGCAAGGTCTGATTTGCAGCAACTAAGCCTGATTGATTTATTGATTCCTTCATTGATTTTAGTTTTTCGTGCCATATTCAATAGTGCTCAAGGGCTACTCTTGGCTCTGTGCTCTGACTCACTCCTGGCAATGGTCAAAGGACCATACAGGGTGCCTGGGGTAAAAACGTGGTTAGCTGTGTGTGAAGCAAGTGCATTAACCCTGCTTCTATCTCTGCCCTTATTGATTTATTACTTATTTATTTTGGATTTGGGGGCCTCACCCAGCAGCGATCAGTGGCCACTCTCAGCGCAGAGTTTGGGAGTGGCTCCCAGTGGTGCTTAGGGGACCGGGTTGTGCAGGGAATCGAACCTGGGCCTCCTGCATGCAAAATATGTACACAGCCCATTGAGTCTCTCCAGACCTGTAACTAAGATTGAAACACATTCTAGCTGATGAATTGAGACTAAGAACTGGGGAGGGAGCCGGAGAACCAAGGGTGACATAGACTTGAGAATACTGTTGTTCCACATAGAGGGGTCAGCTCAGGTAATGGAACAGTCGGCGACACCCTGGGCTGATCCTGAGGGTAAAGGAGGGAGGATTCCCCGATGATTTGGGACTGTCGTGGGACAAAGGCAAGTC